AGGCTGAGGCAGGAGAATTGCCTGAACCCAGGAGGCGGAGGCTGCGGTGAGCCGAGATTGTGCCATTGCACTCCAGCCTGGGTAACGAGAGCAAAACTCCGTCTCAAAAAAAAAGAGAAAAAAAAAGAAAAGAAAAATCCTAGCTCTGCTATTTATCAAATGTGTGACCTTGGGCAAGTTACTTAAGTCTCCTAAATCCTTTTTTCTCATTTATAAAACAGCAACATTCCCATCTATCTCCCACAAGGGTGATGCAAGCATCAAAAGTGATGAGCGAGGTCAAATGGGGCAGATCACCTGAGGTCAAGAGCTTAAGACCAGCCTGGCCAGCACAGTGAAACCCCACCTCTACTGAAAATACAAAAATGAGCTGAAGACTGGGTGAGGTGGCTCACGCCTGGCCTTTGGGAGGCCGAGGCAGGTGAATCACCTGAGGTCAGGAGTTCAAGACCAGCCTATCCAACATGGTGAAACCCTGTCTCTATTAAAATAAAAAATAAAAAATAAAAATTAGCTGGGCATGGTGGTACATGCCTGTAATCCCAGTCACCCAAGAGGCTGAGGCACAAGAATTGCTAAAACCCAGGAGGCGGAGGTTAAAGTGAGCCGAGATTGCACCACCGCACACCAACCTGGGTGACTGAGCAAGACTGTCTCAAAAGAAAAAAGTTAGCCGGGTGTGGTGGCATGTGCCTGTAGTCCAAGCTACTTGGGAGGCTGAAGCCAGAGAATCACTTGAACCCAGGAGGCAGAGGTTGCAATGAGCCAAGATTGCGCCACTACACTTAAGCCTGGGTGACAGAGCGAGACTCATCTCAAAAAAAAAAAAAAAAAAAAAATACCACACACAGGGAGGAAGTCTTGTAAACATTAAGGCCCTATGGAGATGTTAGAAATGTGGGTCACCACACTCCCAGCTACCCAAGGACTCAAGCAGCCTCTGACCTGGGGAGGGGAACAAGGCTGCCTATACAACATGACAACCAGGCATGTCCAGACCAGTTCCCCTGGTGGGGCCAAAACCCCAGGAGCCCTTACTGATGCAGGTGCCTTCACCTGCAGATGCCAGGAGGATTCAAGGTTGGTCAGTGGCAGCCAAGCATTGACAAGGAATGAAAAGACAGGGTCTGCTTTCTGGTTCCTAGTTTTCTGTGGCTGTAGTGCCTGTATACACATAGACAGCCATCCCTCTCCCAGAGGCATCTGGCTGCATGGACCAGCATCTTCCAAGAGGGCCTGGATTGTTTTAATGCAGCTCCACCAGAGCCTCAGGTCTGGGGAAAGCAGCAGCATGGGGGTGAAGGCAGGGGTGGGGAGAACACCAGATATGAAGTCAGAGTCAGAGGCTGTATCTTGGGACTGGTGATAACTGTGGCCCCTCATTATCCATCATCCCCTCCTAAGAAAGAAAGGGCAGGGCACAAAGGGATGCCCACTGCAAACATGCAGAGCACAGGGGAGCTTGCTCATGGGCAAATGACCTCTAAGCCTCATTGTTAAAATAGGCCCAGTGATACCTCACGGAGCTGCTAGGACAAATAATGAAGACAATGTAGCAGAAAGAGTCTAACAACCAGTAACAGTTCAGTGCACTCTCTTTCCTCCCCTAGACAAAGCAGCACAGAACTTCCAGAAACTCACCATCTTCCGCAGTGTTGAGTTTGAGGCTCTTGCCCTTGAAACTCAGCTGTCCCCCAGCCACCTGAGTCTTGGCCAGTGTCTCTGCCAGCTTAGCAATGTCTTCTGAGGCCATGTTGGCTGGGCTGGTGGGCTCCCCTGGAGATCTGCAGACTGAGAAGGCCAACGCTGCATTAAGAAAAAGGAGTCCCCTGAGGCCCCTGGTTGGGGGGCAGGGTAGGACATCAGCCATCTCAGGAGTCTGACCCTACTTTCCCTGCTGTGGAGACCCTAGAACTAAACCACTGGATGGAAGGAAAACAGCATCAGAGAATAACAGTTTCAGAAGGTGTAGGAGACAGTAAAAGAGCAGAAAAATCATGCTTTAGCCTATAAGGAGCTACCATCTCATTACAAGTCCTCCTCTGCCAAACTGCCACGGCTGGGACACCCAGCAACACCATGTGAGCTGCCCATTTCCTGGGTCCCTTCAGTGAATGGCAGTCAAGTCCCAAAACAAAGGCTGCAGAGTCTGGCCCAAGCACCTGCTTGAGCATCTTGGCTGTTCTCTGTTTGAGGGTCCAGTTCCTCAAACAGGACACAGATGGCTATGGGATCCAGATCATCCATCCCAGAGAATGCCCCACCACCCACACTGGCATGACTCTGGGGTGGGTCACAGGGGTCAGCCCCACTGCACGCCTGGTTTCAACCCTGGCCAGGAGACTGGGCAGGCCATAGTGGCCCCTGAAGGGTTCCTAGGAGACCAGAGATCACCACATCATCACAGCTATCATCATAATAGGCCAGGGACAGGGTTGTTACCCATGAAGCCCTATTGTACCCAAGTTTACCAGATGTGGGTAGAAATGGGGTTGATGAGCCTCATTGTTGATAAAATCAGGAGTGCTGGTAAAACAAGTAAAGCTGGCCAGGTGCAGTAGCTCACACCTATAATCCCAGTGTGGGAAGCTGTGATGGGAGGATTCCTTGAGCCCAGCAGTTCAAAACCAGGGTAAACAACATGGCAAAATCCCATCTCCATTAAAAAAAAAAATTAAGGCTGGTCACGGTGGCTCACGCCTGTAATCTCTGCACTTTGGGAGGTCGAGGTGGGTGGATCACGAGGTCAGGAGTTCGAGACTAGCCTGGCTAAAACAGTGAAACCCCAGCTCTAAAAAAATATATATATATAAAACAAAAAAAGCAACGTATAGTGGTGTGCGCCTGTAGTCCCAGCTCCTGGGGAGACTGACGTGGGAGGATTGCTCGAGCCCAAGAGACAGAGGCTACAGTGAGCCATGATCTCACGACTGCATTCCAGCCTGAGTGACAGAGTAAGATCGTATCTCAATAAATAAATAAACAAAAGTAAAAATGAGCTGGATGTGGTGGCACATGCCTTTAGTCAGTCTCAGCTACTGGAGAGGCCGGGCAGGAGGATCACTTGAGCCCAGAAGTTCAAAGCTGCAGTAAGCTATGGTTGTGCCACTGCACTACAGCCTGGGCGACTGCGGGAGATCCTATCTCTAAAACTAAGTAAGTAAGTACATGAAAAAATTTAAAATAACAAGTAAAGCTTTGAAAACTCTTCCACCTGCTGGTGGTTATCGCTAACCAGCTTTACTTGGACTACACGTGAAATGAAATATCTCACATGTAGTGCCTGTAAATTTAAGGCAGCTATATTAGATACTAGACAGGATTAGATATAGGATTAGATTAGATATGTTAGATAGGAACGTGTAACATCACTACATGCTTGTATAGTGTTTACTTTGTGACCTGAATATATGAATACATGTATCTGTGAGATGCTCCAAAAAAAAAAAAGAGGAGAAACAGCAAGTACTCAGGAGAGACCAAGGAAGCAGATATGAGGTGCAGAACTAGGGGCTGCTATCCAAAAGGCCTCCTCCCACAACCTCATTCTCAGACACAGTTGTGATACCCTGAATCCTCCCACCCCTAGGCTTCCTCTGGGTTCAAACTTATCACCCTGGTTTGTCTTTGTCTGTCTTTACCAATAAGCATGAATTATTATTCTGGGTAAGGTGTCCACTCATTCATTCAACAAAACATTGATTGAGTACTACTGTGTGCTGGACGTCATTCCAGAACAGGAGTATAGCAGAAAAAGAAACATAAACCCTGACCTCTTGAAGCATGTGTTCTAAATGACACATTTAGTATGTGATTTAAAAAAACTGGTGGTGGGGGGGGTGCCCAGGAGCAGTGGCTCACACCTGTGATCCCAGCACTTTGCGAGGCTGAGGCAGGTGAATCACAAGGTCAGGAGCTTGAGACCAGCCTGGCCAACATGGTGAGAGCCTGTCTCTACTAAAAATACAAAAATTAGCCAGGCATGGTGGCATGCACCTGTAGTCCCAGCTACTTGGGAGGCTGAGGCAGGAGAGTCGCTTGAACTGGAGAAGTAGAGGCTGCAATAAGCCAAGATGTTGCCAGTGCACTCCAGCCTGGGGAACAGAGCAATACGCTGTCCGGGAGGGAAAAAAAAAAAAAACAGGGAAGGGGGTCAGGATTTTTTCTTGGGGGAGGAGTTGCGATTTAATGTAGAATGATTTAAAAAGGCATTATTAGGCCAGGCACGGTGGCTCACGCCTGTAATACCAGCACTTTGGGAGGCCAAGGCAGGTGGATCATCTGAGGTCAGGAGTTCAAGACCAGCCTGACCAACATGGTGAAACACTGTCTCTACTAAAAAATACAAAAATGAGCCAGGGAAGGTGGTGGGTGCCTGTAATCCCAGCTACTCGGGAGGCTGAGGCAGGAGAATCGTTTGAACCTGGTATATGGAGATTGTAGTAAGCCGAGATGGTGGCATTGCACTCCAACCTGGGACACAGGGCAAGACTCCGTCAAAAAAAAAAAGGCATTATTAGGATATGATTAAATAAAGATGTCAGGGACTGGGCCATGCAGACATCTGGGGGAACAGGATTCCTGCAAAGGGGAATAGCAAATGCAATGGCTCCTATGGGAGAAAGGATGGAGGAACTGCAAGAGGGCCAGTGGGGCTGAAGCACAGAGAGAGAGAGAAAAAAGGAGGTAAGAGATGAGCATTAACAAGGGGCCCAAATCATAAAGGCCATTTGAAGAAGTGGCTTTGACTATGAGTGACAAGAAAAGCCACCGAAGGGTTTCTAGCAGAAGACAGATGTCATTTGACCTATGTTTTGACAGGATCACTCTACTTGCCACACAGGACCTGGCATATAGAAGGTGCTCAAGAAATGACCCGTTGAAACAGCATAAAAAGTAACCAGAGTTGGGTGTAATGGCTCACTCCTGTAATTCCAGCATTTCAGGAGTCTGAGGTGGGCGGACTGCTTGAGCCCAGAAGTTAGAAACCAGCCTGGGCAATACGCCAAAACTAAAAATACAAAAATTAGCCGGGTGTGGTATCGTGTGCCTGCAGTCCCAACTACTTGGGAGGTAAGGTGGGAGAATCACTTGAGTCCTGGAGGTGGAGGCTGCAGTGAGCTGAGATCTTGCCACTGTGTTACAGCCTGGGCAACAGCACACCCTGTTTCAAAAAAAAAAAAAAAAAAAAAAAATCAACCAGAGCCCAGGCACAGTGGCTCACGCCTGTAATCCAAACACTTTGGGAGGCCAAGGAGGGTGGATCATGAGGTTAGGAGTTCAAGACCAGCCTGGCCAATATAGTGAAACCCTGTCTCTACTAAAAAAAAAAAAAAAAAAAAAAAAAAAAAAAAAATTAGCCAGGAGTAGTAGCTGTAGTTCCAGCTGCTCAGGAGGCTGAGGCAGGAGAATTGCTTGAACCCAGAAAGCTAAGGTTACTGTGAGCCGAGATTGTGCCACTGCACTCCAGCCTGGGCAACAGAGCAAGACTCCATCTCAAAAAAAAAAAAAAAAAAAAAATTTAACCAGAAACCAACTCAGTGCAGTGGCTCTGGGTTCCAACATTTTGGGAGGCTAGGTGGGAAGATCACTTTAGACCAGGAGTTTGAGACAAGTCTGGGCAGCAGAATGAGACCGTGTCTCCACAGAAAAATTTAAAAATTAGCCAGGTGTGGTGGCACCTGTAGTCTCCACAACTTAGGAGGCTGAGATGGGAGGATCGCTTGAGCCCTGGAAGCCGAGGCTGCAGTTGAGTGGTGATCGTCCCACAACGCTCCAGCCTAGATGACAGAGGGAGACCCTGTCTCTAAAAAGATAAAAAATAAAAAACAAACCGACAAAAAAACAACCTGAGACCCCAACATCTCTTGCAGTTCTGCGATGGGACAATTTCAGGGTAAAAGGTGGTGGTGGAGTCTCCTGATAGAATAGGGACAGAACTTCTCAGCTGAAAAGGGCCCCATTCCTCAGTCCAGGAGAGAGACAAAGAGATGCACCCCTCCACACACATTTTATACACTAAGAAACTGGAGCACAGAACAGTGAATTGATTTGTCCAAGGTCAGCAAATGGTCAGCGGCAGAGCAAAAGCAAAGGGTTAATAGAGAAACGTCCTCTCCCCGCTGCTCGCAGCAGCGTCGGAGACTTTTCTGAGGTGAGATGCATGCTCCTGCGAAGTGTCAGCAGTGACTCACATCGATTCCAGGGACACCGGCGCTAGCCGTGGCCCCCCGCGGGCGTGGGCCTGCTGGGAGGCGGCGCCGTGGGAGCGACGCGCAAATACAGGCCGCAAATGACAGGCGGGCGGCGCGGGAGCCGCATCTGGAATTCCCAGAGGACTCGCACCGCCTTCGGTTGACAACGAGAATAATTTGAGACGCCACTGCTAGCAGCTGCAGGCTGGGCGGCTCCGGAAAGTTAGACGCCCTTTAAGCCTCAGTTTCCCCATTTGTGAAAGGAGCCAGCGCCGCCCAACACACCTACTCCCACAGCCACCCCCGGAGCGCTCGGCTGTCGAAGGCGAAGCGGAGAAAGCCGAGGGGACAAGCAGAAGGCGCACAGGGGAGACACGCCTCCTCGCCCCGTTCCCCCGTCCCAGGCAGGTGGCGGGGAAAGGAAAGGGACCCTGACTGTACCGTAAACAGGCGGCGCCGCGGAGTGGGGGGAACCGAGCACGTGCGTCCGCCCCAACGGGACGGGGACAGATTTAGGGTCCGGGTCAGGCCGGAGTCGCCACCTTGGGGTCCAGGGGTTGTGATGTCCACCCCGCTTGTCTGTCCGGTCTCTCGGGCTTCCGGCCTCACGCGCTTCCAACACCACCTGCTCTCCGCACCAAGGCGGATGATGGCGGAGGAGGAGGATTTTGAAAGCCGGCAGTTTCTTTGCTTCGATTTGATTTGTTCGAGGCCAAGGCAGGCTTGCCCTTGCCCGGCACGCGCGGTCTCTCGGGTAGGGTAGTCTCGTTCCCCTGCGCGGGGCGCGGCGGGGCGCACGCCGCGAACTACCCATCCCATGGTGCAACGCGCGCAGAGCTTCCCCACCGCCCCCCTCTTCGCCCTCCCGCGGCGGCTTCTGGCTCTTTCTCGCGGAGACGCAGGGCGGTGTTCAGCAGGGAGCGCCCAAAGACTACAATTCCCAGAATGCGTTACGCCCGGGCCCGTCCGCTTTTCCGGAAAGGTTATGTTTGCGTAACTTTGATGTCGCAGGTATGGCCGGTGCTGGGGCTCTTCCGCAAGACTCAGGTATCCATTTCCCGAAAGAAAAGACTCCCTTCCATCCCATGAAACTGAAAGGGCATTCGAAGACTTCCACATAAATATGCACAAATTACTTGATAATTAAAAAGGGGAAATAGTAACTATCGTAGAGAAGCTCTACAGACACCACTTGAACGGCCACGTTAACATCAACAGCAGGACAAGCTGACATTCATCGCACACTTTCTGTGTGATGCATTGACGCCCGGTCTGCAATGCATGACCTTAGTCTAATCACGAGAAACCCAAGCTGAGGGACATTATAACTGATGTGTACCCTTCCGGAAATGTCTGTATTATGTAAGAAAAAGAAAAACCGAGTAACTGTTGCCGATTACAGGAAACGAAAAAGACAACTGAATGCAATACATGGTCCTGGATCAGATCCTGGGTGGGGACTGCTGTAAAAGACGATAATGAGACAGCAAAATTTGACTGTGTATTAGATAATAGTATTTTATCAGTGTTAAATGTATTAATTTTGATTATAGTACAAGGTTTTGTAAGAGACTGCCCTTGTTCTTGGAAAAAAATGCTGAAATAGGGACAAAAAGGATAGGATTTCTGCAACTTAAATGGTTAAAAGAAATGTACCTATACATGTACATAGAGAAAGCAGGGGCACAGATGTGACAAAATGTTTATCAGTGAATCTATTGAAGGATATGGGAGTTCTTTGAATATTTTTGCAACTTTTTTGTAGATGTGAATTTAAGCATAAAAACACAGCTTTTTTTTTTTTTTTTGAGACGGAGTTTCACCCTTGTTACCCAGGCTGGAGTGCAATGGCGCGATCTCGGCTCACCGCAACCTCCGCCTCCTGGGTTCAGGCAGTTCTCCTGCCTCAACCTCCTGAGTAGCTGGGATTACAGGCACGCACCACCATGCTCAGCTAATGTTTTGTATTTTTAGTAGAGACGGGGTTTCACAATGTTGACGAGATGGTCTCGATCTCTTGACCTCGTGATCCACCGGCCTCGGCCTCCCAAAGTGCTGGGACTACAGGCTTGAGCCACCTAGCCCGCCTTTTTTTTTTTTTTTGAGAGGG